GAGACTTGTAGTTACAGCAGAGCTGGGCTACTGCCTGCCTTAGAGGCCTGGTGGCATCCTGGTGGGCAGGCCCGTGCCAAGCAAGCCTCACACGCACCCCCTGGGTTTGACTATGCATGCTGGTTGCAACAGTACCATTTGAAAGCTGCTTAAATCTTTGTGGTTCCAGACTTTCCAAGTGAAATGAAAAAAAAGGGAATCCAAACCCAGCAGATCAGGATTATGTGATAAGGTCACGTATGGAGGTGGGGAAACAACACAGCACCAGATTTTTATTTATTTTTTTTTTCTGTGCAGGGTCAGGGTCTTATTATACAGCTCGGACTCCTAGTGATCCTCCTGATTTCTGCCTCCCTATGGCTGGGATTAGAGGCATGCGTCACCTTCTCCGGACTCCAACGGCCCCTGGCCCCTGCGCTTACCTAAGCAAGCTTTTAGTCCGCTGAGCTGTATCCCCGGCCCTAGCACCAGATTTTTTGAGGTCAGTACTGGGGAAAGGGAAGGCCAAATCCACAGGTCCACCCTGCGCTGCAGCCAGGCCTACATGCCAAATGATAGATGCTGAGTAAATGAGGGAAGGAACCGAGAGTAGGGCAGTAGGTGTACAGCCAGCCAGACCGCCTGTGTTAGTCCCACCTCTGCCACACACCAGCTACACAAACCCACCAGCGTACTCCAGTCCTCGGAGATGTAGCTTCCCATCCATAATCCCCTCCTACAATGATATTATAAAGTGCTCAGCACAAGGTACATGGGATTTCACACAATGTACACTCAGTAAATAATAGATTAATAATATTGTGGAAAGAGGGCAGAAGGAAGAGCTGATTATGGAGGTTAGAGCTCCTGAATTCTGCAGTGTGTGCAAGTGTGTGTGTTTAGGAATGTGAGACAATTTTAGAATTTGGGAAAACATTTGAAGGTGGATGAAAGTTTTACTTTGAAACCAATTTATTTCACGGAGGGACAGTAATGCTGGGGACAGTAATTCAACATCTTACGGATTTCTATCCAGAGAAAAAATATTTCTGTGCAAGGAGAAAGCCTTCAGGAAGGGCTCCCCATGGCCTCGCTTGGATCCTGTCCATCCTAGACCCCGGCCTGGTGCTGAAGAGTCGACACTCTCCCAGCGCCCACATCCCTGTTCCCAACCCTGTGTGTGTTGGGAGGCAAGAGAGGCTGTGGGATGTGACTGAGGCGCAGACAGCCCAGAGCTGCACCTGGCTGATCGGCAGACCCAGGCTCATCATGGGCCCCTAAAGCAGAGAACCTTCCCTGGCTGTTGGCAGAGAGGTTTAATGATACAAAGATTAAAACCATGGGACAGGGGCTGGAGAGATGGCTCAGTGGTCTAAAGCACCTACTTGGAACAAGTTTGGCAAAGCACAGGGACGGCGGTTCAATCCCCCAGCACCACATGCCAGCCAGACCCGCCCCCTGGTGGGCTGAGCTGGCCACACACACACACACACACACACACACACACTAAATGTAAAATAAATAAATAAAATAAATTTAAAACCATGGGCCATGGCCAGCTTGAGCATGTTGGACGGAGGTCACGAACAAGGGAGTGGCCTCTAGAGTGTGGAAAGGGTTAGAGAAGGGATCCGGGAGAACCCCATGCAGTCTGGTGACACTTTTTAAATAATTTTTCTAGTAGTAGGGATTGAGCCCAGGGCCTTGGTACTGAACTACATTCTCGGCCTTTTTTCTTTTGAGACAGACTCTACATAGCTAGCATGACTGGGCTGATCTGGAACTTGGAACCCTCCTGCCTCGGCCTGCACAGAGCTGGGATTCCAGGTGTGCACCACCACAGCAACTGACCCACAGAACTGTAAGATAATTTTCGTGTTTTAAGCCATACCGTCTGAGCACTTTGTTAAGGTGGCTGCAAGAAACTAACGTAGCAGAGAAACAAGGTGGAAACCGGTTTCAGATGCTTCTCAGCTTCTCTGCCCTGCAGATTCCACGGCCCCCCACCTCACCCCACAGGATAATGTGGCTCAACAGAATGCCATGAAGGACACAGGCCCAGAAGGCAAGGTTCCACTGCTCTCCAAGCCCGCTTCCAGTCACTCGAGGCCAGGTGCAACCCAGGTGTCCCACCAAAGTCACGAGCCTCTGTCGAGAGGGACAAGCGAAGTAGATGAGCTTTCAGAAAGGCCTTTTGAGACGGCAGCCAGTATGGCTCACAGGGCTTCTGTTGAATCCACGCCACAAAGGAGAGCATTATCCTACTTCCAACGAGGAGTGAACTACTTATTGGCTAAGTGGCTTTTCCACAAGCAACAGTGTTCTGACGTTAAAGGTCAAAACCCTAATTGTTTTTCCTCTTCCCCTTCTTAATTTTTTTATAACTTTATTGAACCAATTTTGCATGTGTATGTCTGGTAATCTAAACAACTAATTTGAAGACATTATGCAACATAACAATCATTGTTGAATTCCTATTATTTTGTTTAGTGAAGTTCTGTAACGTTTCTAATTTTGTACCTCTTTAAAAAAAGAGGTTTATCTTTTTATCCTCTTTAAAAACACACACACACACACACACACACACACACACAATTGGTTTGCTTTGTTTCCTACAGTGAAACACTGCGCATAAACTATCCTGCCTCATACTGAAAAAAACCTTATCAAATTAGAGCCATTCTTTCTCAAGGCCTTATCACTTCCTGCCTCTTTTCTGCTGTTCCTGATTAACTCAAAGCTTTAGGACAGCTACTACACAATCCTGCCTTGTGGCAGAGTGACAGGGACATTTTTAAGCACTGACGACAAAATCATCCTTCCTACTTTTAGAAAAAAATGCACGTTACTATGAGGCTCTGCATAGCCCAGCCTGTCTTAGTCACTTTCTTGTTATGGGGTTAAAATACACAATACCCACAAGTTAAAAGGGGGAAAAAAAAAGTCTATTTCAGCTCCCAGTTTCTAGAGGTTTCAGTCCATAGTGGGCTGGCTCAAGGGAGGGCAGAGTGGCACTGTGGAGGAAGCTTGCTCGTGGTAGGGCAGCAAAATCCCGGTGCATTCAGGGAGCAGCCGGGCCATATAGCCACGCCCACCGGAACTGGCCTCTTCCCGCTGGACCTCAACCCCCGACATCACGCCCAGCACACGAATCCAGTATCACACATCCATGACTCAGTGACTCCAAGCCCCACCTGTGGGTGCATGTGGCTTTGGGGGTACATCTAGATATAAACCACAACACAGCCCAGGAGAAAAATTATAATTTAAATAGAACTACCTAATGCCACAAAAAATTCATGACATTTTGCCTTCTGGAATATATCTATGTACCCTTGCACTTCTAACTCTGCCATTAGCAATCAGGAAAAGACCACCCATATCTACAGTGTTACCAATAAGGGAATTCAATTTTGGTTGCATCATTTTTGTCCCTGGGGCACTTGGACCCTTCAAAGAATTACTGATTGCGTCTATGGAGCTCTTCTTTCAGCTGCCTTTTCTTGTTGGAAGTAGAGACTGCAGTGTTTTCTATTTGAAAGTAATATCTGGGCACAGTGGTGCACACCTGTAATGCCAGCACTCAGGAAGCTGAAGCAGGAGGATTGCTGTGAGTTCAAGGCCAGCCTGAACTGTATAACCTGAGTTACAACCAATCCTCACAATGAACTGTATTTATGTCCACTGTATTGATGAAGCTCAGCTGGGCACTTGGGAGGCTGAGGCAGGAGGGATGCCATATATATGAGGCCAGCCTGGGCTACATAAAGGGACTCTCAAAACACAAAGCAAAACAAAAAAATATGGCATACCCTTTATCCTGCTGAACATACCAATTTTCCTGGGGTGACTGTATACACCTGCCATCGATGGTACTCACTGAAGTGGGGCAGTGTACAACTTTCATGAAGGGGTGGTCCCTGACTCCAGGGAGATTAAATCACCTATTTGTAAATTAAATCTATTATTGCTCTTATTACCTGCTGTACAACACACCCAGTCAAACTACTTATTTGTTCATGTGAAGTGTTACCAGCTGACTCCTATTTTAGACCCTAAATTCATCAGAGTCTGGGAGTGTGTGATGATCTTGATTGTTATTTTCTAGGAGCTGGGGCTGCATTAGTAGACTCAAAAATTCTGTAGGAGCTGATAATCTAGCAAGAGGAAATATTAGAAAAGCTCAATTTGTTATGGGTTATAAGAGATAAACACTGTGACAAAAAACAGGAGGGGAGGGGGCTTTTCCTCACTCGATTTAGTTCTTTGCTCAAATATATACATGTGTATCTATTCCCCTCCCCACTTTGACACAGAAAATCTTTGGAAGCTTGGCCTAGGAAAGATACCATCTGCCTAAAAGGAGAAACTACACTCAGGAATGGAACCGTATGTACACCCAGCAAAAAGCAAGGCAGTTTTCAGATCTCGACTTTGGTTAGGCCACTGCAGTAAAGATTTACATAGAATATAGAGATAAGGGGCAAGCGATTCTCTTCTAAAACGCCAACACGCTAAGACTTTTTTGAATTATTTTATTTTTGGATACTAGAGATCGAACTCAGGACCCAGTGCTTGCCAGGCAAAGGTTTATGCCACTGAGCTGTCTCCCAGCCCATTTTTTTTTCCCCCTAAACACATTAAAAAAAACTAACAACGGTTGAGAACCCAGGTTGGTTCGGTGTTTGCAAAACAGCGTTGCATACTGTACTGTGGCTCCAGCGTACAGACCTTTCACAGCCGGCTCGGGTGTCTGTGGCCCTGAGTCATTAAGTCTTCCCAACCTGTCCTTAAGCATCCTAATAAAGAACGCCATCGCTAACACCCAGCATTTTCACATCTCTTCTCTCGCTCCCTAGGCTTTAGACAAGAGTCCCAGGACACCCAGTACGTCCATCCTAGCTACTCTAAACGCGCGCCTGAGTCGCGCGGCCCCCTGGGACTCGTAGGCATCCACGGACCACCGCGAGAGAACTACAACTCCCGGCAGGCTTTGCTCCTTCCCACTCCTCACGGCGCAAGGCCTGCCGGGAGGGGGCAGGGAGAGGCCGTCTGGGTCCAATGGGTGCAGGCTCCGGAGGGGAGGGCGGAGAAGAAGAGGAAGAAGGCGGACTCGGAGCCCCGTCCCCATTCATTGCCGCGGCCAACTGGGCGGGGGTCCGCCGTTTTCGGAGTCATGGAGGCGCTGATTCCTGTCATCAACAAGCTCCAGGACGTTTTCAACACGGTGGGCGCCGACATCATCCAGCTGCCTCAGATCGTCGTGGTGGGGACGCAGGTGAGAGACGCGGCTGCGGCGCAGGCCGGAGCCCCGAGCGGGCCTGTGCGGGCGGCCTTCGCGGCCTGGAGCAGCGGGTCGGTGCCGGGGGCCCGCCGCTCTGCACCTGCCCGCCCGGCTGCGGCGCGCGGGGAGGAGAAGCCGGGCGCGGCAGAACCGGAGTCAGGGGCGGTGCGGCGCCCAAGGGCACCTGGGGGACGCGGCGGGGGGGCGGGCGGGCGCGGGCTCGGCTCCGCGTCTCGTGGCGGGGCTGCGGGGCCCCGGGGCTGCGGGGCCGTGCTGGGGCGTGAGGCCGCCCAGTGCTTCGTGCCCTGCGGCCCCTCCGAGCCCTCCAGATGGGCCGAGGCAGTGTTGCAGAGTCCCCGACAAACAAAAGGAACTTTAAACATCCCATTCCTATCTGGAGATCTCTGGGTACTCGCAGGGAATAGCCAGGTTTTCTGGTTGGGCGGCGGTTTTTGTCTTGCACGGTTTTGTGGTTGTGACCTAAATTGGGCGTCAGATTCTCTGCCTGTTTAGGTTGGGTCTCGGAGAAAGTCATCGTCCATTCTGTGCACACATGTTGAGCGTGTATTTCTAAAGGGACAGACCCGAGTTTCATTTTCTTTGCCTGCTTTTTCTCACTGAAGAGAAATCCTGTTAGAGCTAAGAAAAATATCTTAGAGATAACTTGGTATATAGATTTTAAGTGCATTAATATTTTAATAGTGTCTTTTCTTTTGAACTGAAGGTTTCCCCATCGTTTACCATGAGGTGTGTCGCTACATCTTGCTACAAAATGAAAGTGCATGGGATGAAGTTAGGAGGAGGGACTGGAGACTCTGAATCATGAAATATAATAAATCGTGCCCAGTATTTTTATTAAGCAAACTTGTTTTGTTTGGATCATATAATAGGTGTTGTATAAATATTTAGAGTGTATATTGCTCATTTAACTAGATAATATTTTAAAACACCAGAGATTTTAACATCAAAAGTCATGTTTTATAAATAGAATTGTAGTGTGCTTTTTTTTTTTTAATTGGACTCGAACATACAATTTGCTGGGCCGCTGAGCTACATCCCTGGCCATATAAATAGAATTATATGGAAAGGATAATATAAATTTTCTTTGGTAGTAATTTGCAGGAGTTGTATAGCTTTAGACCAGAAAATTTCCATGTATTTTAAAGAGATTCTCAGTGAAAATCTTAAACGTGTAGTAAAAAGAATCAGCACATTCCATAGTGTATCACCATAAATAGTTTAAAATCAAGAAGGATTCTTCTTACACAAAATAACGTTTCAGTCAATAAACCTGTTGGCTGGCAAGACAGAAGGAGGCCTGGGCGAAAACTAAAAACTCCATCTGAAAGCCATTAATCTGTGCTGGCGGAAACTGGTGCTCCCAGTGACAGTTATGTGCCACCACCATTGTATGTAGTTTGACATTTCTCGAGGGATAGGTTTTGGCTTGTCTTAGTGGGGCTTATCTTTGTCCATCTCCTCCTTAAGTTCCATCCTTTGTGATTTTGATATGGAAGAAATAAGGAATAGAAACAATTTCTTTTCCCTCATGTTTTTTTTTTCCAGTATTTTGGGGAAGAAAAAAAGATCTTTGTTATAGATTTGCATATTTGATAGCACAGTGGTGGTGAACCTGTGGCATTCGTGTTGTTCATCTTTAAGACAAAAGATGTGAATGTATGATTTTATTTCTAAACTGAAGCCTCAGTATTCAGGCTTAATTGCAGTGTTGGCATCTTGTGTTGAGTAAGTGGGTTTTGGTTTGCAGTTTGGGTGCTCTGAAAGGTTCACCATCACTGGTACACCACTACTTTGTTATTCGTGCCATTTTTACTGTTAATGTTGTATAGCAATATAGCATGCATTTATTTTAAAAACTGGAGTTTTTATTAGTGCATGTTTACAGTCCATAGTGGTTACTTTTGTTGTGCTGGTCTAGTGTACGTACAGAACACATGGCAATCTTTTTTTTTTTTGAGACAGTGTCTCACTGTAGTTCAGGCTGGCCTTGAACTTACTATGCATGTAGCCCACATACTGTGGTTCAAGCTACTCTTGAATTTACTAGGTATGTAGCTCAGGCTGACCTCAAATGCACTTGAAGCCATCCTGCCTAAGGCTCCTGAGTGCTGGGATTACGTGCACCACTACATCTGGCTTTGCTGGTCTCATCCTATATATATCCGATAGTACAGGGTCTCACTATGCAGCTCAGACTCATAGTGATCCTCCTGTTTGGTGTGCGCCACCATGCCCAGTCTCAGTGGCCAGCTCAGCGTGCCTAGGGGTGGATGCTGGCACTGGCGTGGCATGAGATACCCGGAATGGAACCCTAGTCCACTTGGCCTAAGCAGGCACTTAGTCTGCTGAGCTATCTCCCCAGCCCACCGGTCTCATCTTGTTGAACTTCTTAGAAAAGTGATTCTCATAACTCCATTGTGTGTAAGAGTCACTTTGAAAATGCATTTCCTAGATCCCGTTATTAAAGATTTTTGGTAAGTTTGCAGTAAGCATGGTACGCTTAGTGATTTTGTTGCAGATGGTTCATGAACTCTATACTGAAAAGTGTGTAAATAAATCATTGAATTTTTAATACAGAATACTAGAAAAAACAAGAAGAATTCAGAGAACTGTGTCTAAGGGTGGATGATACAGTATCACGTTGATTTTGGTGGTATTCTTGTTTCAAAACATTAATTCCTAGGCAGCCCTCTCCAACTCCTAAATGTTTTGAACCATGATTTCTTTCTTTTTTTTCTTTTTGCGGAACCAGGGATTGAACTCAGGCCCTTGAGCTTGCCACGGAAACAGTTATTCTACTGAGCCATCTCCCCCGCTCCTGAACCATGATTTCTTCAATTGCCCAATGAATACTTATTTGGGGTTAAGATGTTACAGGCATTCAAGAGTGAAAATCAGGGCTGGTGAGATGGCTCAGTGGTCTAAAGCACCTACTTAGAACAAGCTTAAGCTAAGCAAAGCACAGGGACCGCGGTTCAATCCCCCAGCACCACATGCCAGCCAGCCCTGCCCCCTGGTGGGCTGAGCTGGCCACACACACACACACACACACACTCTAAATAAATAAATAAATAAATAAAATAAAAATTTAAAAAAAAAGAGTGAAAATCATGTTTACAGTTATTTACAGTTTTTATTACTTAGCTACATATATAGCTTTTTTCTTGATTTAGCTCAGATCCTCTGTGTGGAAAGAACAGAGTAGGAGAGAAGGTTGATACTTTTAGCCTGAGGTATACTTTGCCTGTGGAGAAGGAGATAAGACTTTAAGCAACTTTTGTGACTTAACTTGGAAAATTTAATCACTATTTAAGTTGAGAACTGGAAGGGGGAGCCCTCTGGGTATGTAATTCAAGCTACAACTTGGAACAGGCCCACTACACAGGTGACATTAGCCTAAGAATGCCTTAGTGTGGCTAGTAAGGTACCTTCTACTTTGCCTTTCTCTTCAGTGGTTAGTGCTCCATCTTCAGTAGTTTGGACACATGTAAAAAGTGTGAGTGATGCAGACCGTAATCCCAGTGCTGGGGAAGCTGAAATAGGAGGCTCACTGGAGTCTGAGCTGTGATGGATTTTTTTTTTTTTTTTCCTTTCCTTTCTGGCTGGCTCAGAATTCCTTAAGGGCAGGTCTGGGAAGGCATGAGGATCTGGGGATTGAACCACAGCATCCTGAGCCGACTGCTTTGCTTAAGCATGCACTTAAACAACTGAGCTAATGGGCAGGCCTCCCGAAGGTTTATTTACTTATTTTTGATACTGGGGATCAAATTCAGGACCTTGTGCTTTACTCCCTAGCCCCTAGTCTGAGCTGTGTAGTGAGACCCTGTACCAAATACATTAAAGGGGAGAGAGAGAGAGAGATTGATTTGGGTTTTAATGACCAATTTATAAACCATCTTCTTAAAATCTGACTTGAAGAAAGTCACAGAACATAAAATTCACTCTTACGAAAGTATACAATTCTGTGGTTTTTAGTATACTTGCAAGGTTTTACAGCCATGACTACCATCTAATTTTGGAGCATACTCATTAGCCCCAAAGGAAACCATCAGCAGTCACTCCTTCATTTCAGCCTCTCCAAGCCTCTAGCAACCACTAATCTTTTCTCTCTCTAGATTTGCCTATTGTAGACATTTCATAGAAATGAAATTGTACATGTGGTCTTTTGTGTCTGGCTTCTTTTATTTAACATAGTGCTTTTTTAGCTTCATCCCTGTTGTATAAGTTGAGTATCTCTAATCCAAAAATCTGAAGTCCAAAATGCTCCAACCAGTGTACAGAACTTTTTTTTTTTTTTGTGGAACTGGGGATTGAACTCAGGCCCTTACGCTTGCCAGGGAAGTGCTTATTCCACTGAACCATCTCCCTGGCCCAGAACTTTTTTTTTTAAAACTGGGAATCAAACTCAGAACCTTGTGCTTGCCAGACAGGCATTTTGCCACTGAGCTATATCCCTGGCTGTGTATATGACTTTCTGAGTGACATCCTGCCCAAGTGGAAAACCATACCTGACCTCATGACAAGATGTAGTTAAAATGCAGGTGCACTAAAAGTATTGTATAAAATTACCTTCAGGCTATCTACACACTAAAATATATGTTTTTTTTTTTAAATTTTTTTATTTTTTTTTATTAAAATATATGTTTAAGTTTGGGTGCCATCCTTCATTTTTTTTTTTCCATCCCTCATTCATTATACGTGAGTATTCCAAAATCTGAAAAATCCTAAAACTGAGACACTTGGTTCATATCCAGGCATTTGAGACAAAGGATACTCAATCCGTACTCCATTCTTTTTTATAGCCAAATAATATTCCATCATATATGTTTACCAGTTTAACCATTTGTCAGTTAATACGCATTGGTGGCTTCCACTTTTTAGTTATTATGAATATTGTTGCTGTGGACATTTGTTTACAAGTTTTTGTGTGACCATGTTTTCAATTATCTTGAGACTGCAAGTCCAATTTTTGG